AGGACTAGCAGCGGCTACAAGAACTTCTTCACACACAACGGGATGCCACAAAAAAAGAAAGTTCAAGCACATATTTACCCCGCAAGCTGCTGTCTGGCATAGTCGGCATGCAAAAATATGCTTGCATCTGCAGTGCAGACATTAGATATTAACAGGAAGGTGTTGAAGTCTGAAGGTGTTCACTGATAACAGTACTTGGAGCAGATGCTCAAACCACAGAACTCCAGCTTCCTTTGAAGGTCCTAAAACCACATGGAAGCAAGCAAACAAAGTCTACAGCTTCGAGGTCCCACCCTGACGCTTCCTGTTCACGGAAAAGCTTCCCAAACCTGCCACTGCAAATACAGGAAATTGGAAACCCAGTTTAGGCAAGACGAGTGCTTTGCAACAGAGGTAGAATTGAACTTCAGTCTTCACCCCCTTTAGTCTCAAAACACTTGTGGTGTACTCTCTGTGGACTCGTATGCCAAACGCACAGCTTCCTGTTAAAGGTTTACAGTTGTGGATGTGATTGGTGAATGAAGCCTTCAGGGAGCTGCACGTGTAGGCATAAACGCTCTAGAGTAATTTGTTAACAGCCCCAGGGAGTCAAGGCAGTGCCTGACCTCTGAACGAGACAGTGGAGTCCACGGTGCACTAGGAAAACAGAAAATACATCTATTCACTGAAACTTGACCTGCCACCATCATTTCCTGCCCCGATTAATCACCCACAACAAACACAACAGTCAGGAAAAAAGCAGCCAGGACAGTAGTTTGCTCCTGAACGTAGCCAGTCCTTACCGTCACGTCTAGACGGCTGGAAAACAGATGGACCGCTGAGGCTGTCGGCTAATGGTGGATGCAAAATATCATGACTAACACAAGAGGCTTTCAATAATGAGCTGCTTTCAGCCGACGGTCTTCATCACGTCTGAGTGGCCTCCATTCCGGCTCTAATGATCTGCAGACTCTTGGGCTGCTTGCTTCAGTCAAGAAAGACCAAACAAAGAGGTCTGTCTTCTTTGACGCTCCTCTGGTGGTGCGTTTCAAAAGCAGCATCGTTTTTGTGGACACAAAGGAAACGTGTCTCCTATGAATCTTTTATTGTAAAGGGACAGAATTATGTCCAAGACATGAGTCACAACTTAATTTAAGGGTTCGGTTGTACGTGCAAGCTTGACATCCTTTGCTTCAAACATAAGAATGTCCCCAAGTTTTACTAACTAACAACTTGGGATTGTCCTCTCATATACTAAAATCGTGCAGCCCTTGCAGAATGGCATAAATAGAAGATAGTCTTCCAAAGGGTATCAATTCCCTTCCGCTCTCTCTGGACTTGCAGAGTCAAGGTACGAAATGTCACAAACGTGATCATTTTGACGAACACAAGGTGACAGCTTGAAGTAACTCTATTTAGACAATTGTAGGTGCTTGTCAGGTTTCATTTTGCCTGAGGCCTGAAGTGAACTAGTTCTTGAGTATGGGCTGCACCCACAACTGTCAAAAGATCCCATCCTGAGCCACTAGAAAGAAGTGTTTTCATGGTCATGTTTTCTTTTGAACCTGCGAACCAAAACAAAGTCTTTGGTACACTGCCACAGTGGGTTTCTCTTCGTTTCAATTCAGATTAATAAAAGGTTAGGAGACGTAACGTTGCAGAGACTCCATGCTGGGCTGACATTCTGTTCTCCACTCTCCGAGTCCTCAGGAAATCCATATCCAGAAATATGGGAGTCACATCCTTCAATTGTTGTCGTACATGAGATCAAGAAGCGCACAGAGAAGGAAGTCAGTGAGCTATTGTGCGCCAAGTACACAAACAAACAAAAATTAGTTTTGGTTCGAAAATATAGGTTTGGCAATAAAACAGAAGATCGATCCTGAAGGCTTTGATTCTTGTGGCAACAAGTCATTTCGGGGCTGAAGAACAACGAATCCAGAAACGTGAGAAAATGTCGGGTAGGCACTCGTCAATGTGAAGTACGGGGGTCAGGATTTCCCTTGTTCTTCCCCCAGAAACTCAACATCATCCCAAAAGAGTTGTTATCGCACAAACATCTGCAGCCTGAGCAAATCAAGCCCTGTGACGGTAGCACAGCCATCCAGCTGGACTGACCCCGCCAGACTGTTTGTAACAAGTGATGAGTCACTAGCACTGCGAAATATGATGGAGAACTCAATGTTCAGTGCTTGTCAACATCATCCCTGTGACCCTGATTGCAAGATACCACAGTGTGCACAACCCATCACATCTAAGGTTGAAAATGTAGAAACATACAGTACAAATTTATCTCAAAACTAGCACAGAATGAAATGGAGATATGTACCTTGCTTTATCTGTACAGTCACTCTTATGTGTGTTTTTGTACGTAAACTGATATAGTTTTAAATGTGTGGCCAGATCCAGTAGAGAAAATTTACCATCTGTACAATGTGTACACGTGCATGTTTGTGCACTCTGGTCGCATGACACTGTTTACATTGGCAAAACCTTGCTTTCTCACTCTTGATATCAGTCACTGGAATTAATGTGTGCAAGTCCGGAATTTATAGAGTAAAAGTACCATGATTAGGGCATAAAAACTATTTGAGTTCCTGATTCAAGTTATCAGCTGATCTCAATTTTGCAATAATCTTGATACCACTAACTGGTAAGCTGATATGAAAAAACAAAAAACAGTACTTTTACAGAATTGACTAATCTTGATTAATGTAAATTTTTACTTATGCTAAAATATTTCTATTGTATAAATTACCATTAGTTGAATGAAATTGAATTAACGACAAACAATAGCGAATTTATGAATAAAAGTTAACCAGTGTTAATGAACACTGGGCCTTATGTAGTTTGTTAAATTTACTGTAAAGTGCATTCCCGATGGCAAACAAACTAAAACCACCATGCTGACTTTTTAGCACACCATTAATCTCTCAGCGTTTACTTGCTCACTCTCCCACATTAAAAAGACACACTCCATGTCAAGTGGTTTCTTACCGGCTCCTTCCTCCCGACCACAGAGAACCACATGGTGCTGCGCTCCGGAGTCGAGAATGAACTGAGGAATCAACTAATAGCGGTCCAGGAAAACTTATTCAGCTCTTTCAAAAGCAGGCAGGTCTACTGAGGAGCGACTCCCGGGCTACATGCTAAACACAATATGCAAATATCTGAAGCCAGAGTAGGACATACCACATCCAGACTGTTATGTAAGAGAAACGACTCCCACGACTCACTAACAGTTAGGTGAAGTTTTAGCAGTGCTCTCAGCTGTGTTCCAGCTCAACACCGGGACAAACCGCCTCTCCTCTTTAGATCCTCCCCTTTGTCCCAGAGCATGCCTTACAACCCTTTCTTTACTCCTCCTTTCCTTCTCCTCCCATTTTTCACTCCTTCCCTCCCTTCTTTTCCTCTGTTCTACCTCTACCAAACTTTATGCTTCCTCGGAGACACTCACAGATGAAAATAGAATCACTAAAGGGGAGGTTTTGCTATGAAAATAAACAGTTCCTGTTAACCCCCTTCTCCTCCCACTACACCTCCCTTGCTTGCCTCTTCTCTGTCCCTGAACCTGACACACATCTGGTGGGAAAAACGCTCTTCAGTCCACCAAAAGTGGTGAAACACAGGCTACTGAACTGCAACTGTCTGTTCCATATAACCCACTAAAAAAAATCCCAATTTGAAAAAGAAAGAAATATTTACTTGCACAGTAAAATTGTAAACTGGTCCATGTTGGATCTGAAAGCACTTTCTAACAGCATATTAGTCATACTAGTAAGTTTAGAGTATAAACAAAACCTTAATTTGCAATGTTGACATCGAAACTAATAAAACGAATCAAAACTTTTTATGCTTGACAAGCGCAACTGGTGGAATCATGCAAAACATTTAATATTTTAGCCTATTAACTGTGCTGTAAACTCCAACATAAAAGACTGCATTTTGTAAAAGGGGTGACGACACAGAAGACATTTCCTACTGCGGAAAGCAGCAGACTAGAACAGTGCTCAGTCCGACAAGGAAACAGAAAGATTTGCTAATGACTCCGTTTTGTATTTGAATGTTTGACAAGCACACAGACCAGCTTGTGACTAGGGATATGCCGGTATCAAATTTTTATGTTGCGATTAATTGCTAATGCTTTTATCACGGTACACGGTATTATCACGGTGTTGAAATTTAGTTTGAAAAAAGTGCTGTCATAATACAGTACAACATGTTTAATATCTTTTTTCTTATAACAAAAATAACTGAACATTTAAATGCAATAAAGCAATACAGAAAAAAGTATAAAGCTAAAAGTTTTACACCGATTAAAGTGCAAAAGAACTATAAAGACCAATAGGTATCCCTTTACAATAAGACCTCATTAGTTAACCTTAGTTAATGCATTAACATTCACAATGAGCAATAGCTACATTTGCTACAGAAGTTATTAATCTTTGTTTAAAAAATACAAGTCTTAGTTCATGTTAGCTCATTAAATAACACAGTTGCAACTTTCGATTTAAGTATTCTTAAAATGCATTCAAAATTCTGAATAACTTGTAATATATAATTATTCACGGTATTTAGAAGAGCCCACGATAACAATATCGTGCATATTCATTACCGTGATATATCGCATTACCGAATACCGGCACAAGTCTACTTGTGACTGAATCAAACAAAGTCAAGTCCTTTTGAAAGGACATCCCTGTTATGATCTGAGCCTAGGAAACCATGCCACACCTTTACTTCCCACTCAGAATATAGCACCCACCAACATCAGAAACCAAAAACCAATCCTCAAAAAGTTAAAATGGTTCTCATTAACTGTGTCAAACTAATCAGATCTAGTTCTATGCCAAAACCAGATGCCCTCCTCAAGGATTTAGGGTTTCATTCACGTACTCTCTAGATCAATTTTTATCACTGCTACAGCAGTCAGATCCATGCAAGATGATCACAGACTTTGAAAGTGGAGTAATATTACACAATAAACATCACTAAAAAGAAATAAAATAATCAGTTCTTACCTTGGCCGCCACAATACTGAGGCCCATCCCATTGTGTTTCTTCAAAGTCACTGTCGCAATTTCCGGTTCCTTCTGCATTGGCTGTAGAGAGAGCAGACAGGTGATTTAACTTGGGGGAAAAAGTCACTATTGTAACTTCAGCTTTAGGTCCACGCTGCGTCTGGTGGCCGTTCCTAGAGCAAACTGAGCTAAGAGGAGGAGGAGGAGGAGGAGAGAAAATTAGGGAGGTTCTGCCACTGCTGGTTCTCAGAGCACAGCCGACCGCAGAGCGAAACGGCGGGCGCTGGAGACGAGTCAAGAATGAAAGCCACATGCGTCGGCTCCAGAGTGCATCAGGCCTCAGTGGGCTCGCTTACGCACAGGCAGGGCCTGGGAGAAAGAGACCAGCTTTTCGTGCCATGGCCTCTCCTTTAGCGAGCCCGAGTGCGTAAATGGTGCACATGGCATGCATTCATTGTACAGGGAACTTTAGCTATGCTGCCAGTCCGCATTGTTGAGTACAGCTTGGGGGGTGAGAGCAGAGCTGGTTTAAAGCACAGTGGAGCTTTATGAACACTGATGGGTAATGCAAGGAAACTCTTTGGGTTCCTTTGGTAAGGTTTACAAAAGCAACAGGGCAAGCTTTTTTTAGCTTTGTTAAAGCATGTTTCCTTCAAAAAGGATTTTCTGGCATAGCTATATTAATGAACGCATAGACTACTAGAATCACAACTACAACATTCACCAAAAACAGTGTCTAAATACCCATTTTGCTATTGGTCAACATTTTTTCTGGCCTAGATGATGTCTGTCAAAAAGGAAAGATGCTGCAAGTGATCACTTGATTATACTATTTTTTTTTTATCTTTAAAATAATGTGTGGGAATGCACAGTACATCCAGAAACTGCAAACAAGGTCGATTTTGATTTCATGCCAAAATCTCATGTGTACAATATGTGAGTTTACAGTAAGCATTGGTCCTGGGATGGCTGTAAGAAAGGGATGTGGGAGTGGGTGGGTTGGTTTGGCACACGATCAAGCTGCGTTCATCAGATTTCTGTGGTATTTAAATGTGTTCTGAGCTCCAGCTCTGTCTGCTGTAGGGCGGACAGACATTATGTAAAAAAAATAAAAAATAAGATTATGACATTACGTAAAAAAAATCCCTTATGTAAAAATACGAGAGACAGTAAAAACAGACTAATTACAGGGGAGGAGGAGCATTTAAGGGCTTTGTGTGTTCAGGGTAAGAAGAAAGATATCATTTACAGCCATTGCTTGGGCACTATGGTCAAATATTGCCCTCTGTGGTGTAACTAGTGTTGGTTGGAATATAAGAGAATGTTAACTTGACAGAACACACTCTATCAACTGACATTAAATATTCCCTGGTGCCGTTTTGCAAATATCTGTTTAGTATTTGGGTTTTATATTAAAAATTCAAATGTAAAAAATTCAAATTCAAATGCAAAATTCTGTTTTCTGATGCCCTCAAAGACAAATCCATCTACAAATCTACCCATCTATCTATCTATCTATCTATCTATCTATCTACCCATCTATCTATCTATCTATCTGGCATAAAAACTTACCAGTTCCGACGTGTCAGCTGAGAAGTGACTGTCGCAATCAGCTCCTTCAAAATAGATGGTCCAAGTTCCTGGAGAGCGTGGATGAGGTGTCAATCGACAAAAACCTGGAGGACAACGAGCAGATCAGAACACATCCACTAAATGTTAAAACTTTAAATCCACTGGTCTCTCACTGTCTTTGTCACACACCTGTAAAAACACACTCTCGCTCTCTTGCAAAAACAAATAGACTGCTGAACACAACCTTAACAAACCACATTCCACTAGCATCACGTCAGCCTTAAACAAACAAAGACAACAACCTCTGATTCACCATCCACCTGATACTTATTGTGCACACCGCAACTGACATCAAATGCTCTGAAACTTATTCAGAATGGCAGCACTCTGTTTATCATCCATACCTCTCTGGCAAAGTGGCTCTAGGAACTCTTGGAATCCGTTGGGAATGTTCCGCACCACGTCGCATGAGTAGCCATCCTCGGGCAGTAGGAAAGGCAGCTGGAGGTCAGGGTCCTCTTCAAGCTGTACTTCCCGCCCATCGCTTCGGGCCAGTTCGTCCGCCGTGTTCTCGGCCACAGCCACCACGTGATCAATCAGCTCCTGTGAGCATGAAGGGGACAATGATCATAATGGTACATAAGAACTCTAGTAAAACTTGACATGCTGCTGCTCTTCTCCTCCATCTCTGATTTGCTTTGAAGAGCGAGTTTTGGAAAGATGGGGTGCATCTAATTGAGGCTGTGAGATGTTCCAGAACAGCTAACATCAGTTACAGCACCTTTTACAGTAATGAGTTTAATATTTCACATCAAACAAGAAGGTCACATTATGAGAAACCCTGAGGTTAGAGGAAATAAGCAGAGCTACTGTGAAAGTGCAGAACACCTGGTTCGATTTATCTCAAAAAGGACACATGTCATCAGACCAGGACTACACAGCCAAAATGAGACAGTTCACTCACAGGAGGAATGTAGGGTTCATCAGGAGCGCAGTGGTAGTTGCTCAGCAGAGCGTTGAGCTGCAGAGAGTTGAGCTTGAAGCAGGTGTTGTTGATGTTCTGCACATCTTGCATGGAGTATTTGTCCATGGTGAGGAGGGTCGTTGCCTAGAGACAAGGGGACAGTTACTGGTTTATAGTCCATCTAACTAGGACTGAGGGTTTTAAAACTTTCAGGCCAAGTGCCACCTTCGTTTAAACTAAAACATCCTAGAAGTACTGTGTAGACACTACCAATATTCTCTCCAAGAAAGAATATAGTCTATGTATTAGCATGTTATACAGACAAATCTATATTCAAATGGTATATATTACAAATAAGAAAAAGTTAAAAAAAAAAATATATATATAATATTTAATTTTAATATACATACTATTTACCACTAGTAGTTCTACTACTACTACTAATAAAGTATTTTAGTATTGTATATGTTCACCACAGGTTTCTACAATAATACAGTTATATGTATATAGTTTGTTTGCACTAAATTTGCTGTTGGGAAAAATAAAAACTCCTCAATTTGTCACTTGACAGCAAAGTCAAATATCAAAAATCTTTTTTTTAGAGTTCTTCGGTGTTATGTTCTACAGCTTCAGTTTCGGAACTTTTACGCTTAGTAACACATACAGCTGTGCTCTCACCACAGTGCAACAGTGAAAAGATACCCCTCTCAAACAGTATTGCGTTCTGAATGTTGTTTAAACGACATACATGTTGTGGTACTTTAAAAATTCATATCGTAAGAAAAATAAACATGGTATTTGGTATAAACCGGTATACCGCCCAGCACTACTAAATTGCTAAAAGGTGTCTGTAAGGGATTGGTTAGAGTGCAGTAAACATAATTAGTTTAGCCTATAGCTTAACTTAAATAGCTTAACTATAAATGCAACTCTGTGAAAGATTGGTGTATATATCTGCATGTGGTACCTGGACTATGCGACTGAGGTGGCAGTCTGCGGCCAGCTCCAAACCCTGTTTCTCAGCCCACGCCTCGATGTGGCTGAGCTGCTGTCGCAGGATGGCGCCCCAGTAGTGCGAGCACAGGCCTGAGTCAGCCTCCGTCACCAGCTTGTTAAAGAGCCACATGTTGATGAAATGGAAGAGCTGCGAAAAAAGCTGAATGGTGAGGGCCGCATTGACACGGCACCGCCGCAGAAGAGACATGGCGCCCGTTAGCGTGTGCAGAACGTCCTCTGTGGAAAAGAGGAAAGTCAGGGCCTTTAATGCAATATAAACAGAAACAATACCATCATTCCTTTATTTATTTTACTTGCAATTATAATGGTGCAATGTTGAGAACTAGCCCTATTAGCTGGAACAGATATTAATACAAAAGGTTGAAAAACATTTAAAATACATGTTTTTTTGATATTCTCCTTGAACGCATGTTTTTTTTTCTTCTTTTTGTGGGTGGTCCCTGATGTGCATCACATTGTTCCTTGTCAAAGGGGTTAGGAAACACTCTTCTAGAGAACTAAAAGTGCTGCTATATGGCTTAAGATGTTTTGCATGGTTCTGGTTCATTTCAGCATATTTCTGTGTTGCTTAAGATGTTGATACTGCTTTAGTCAAGAGGGCATGTTTGTCCATTTGTCCAAGTCATTTAGTTGAAATAGACTTGTCTTGTTAAGACTACTTAAAATTCTACAATGCCCAAGACAACAAAGAAATTAAGATGTTGTAAGTTCCTGTAAAGAGTAGAATAGAACTTTGGGTAGAATATATCTGCTGTTTAGTTTCAAAACCACCACTAGGTGGTCCCATATAACTCTTTCAATTGTGATTCTAACTTTTGTCCTTTAACAAAATCCACTAATCTACTCATCTTTATACATGATAGATGAAAAACTGCATCTGTTGATGAATCTTGCACAGTTACTAAACTGAACTAAAGCAATACTGAACTGACTTGAGCTGAATAATGACACCATTCTCTTACATGGCAGAATTTGTTTATTCCTTTATCAGTTTATAACCTAAAGCTGCTCTTTATACTGTTTTATATAAAGCACTATATAAATAAAGGTGACTTGCATCTGAAAACATGGGACTGGGTCTCTGCTCACCTATCTTGGGCCTCTGTGGGTTCTGTTCATCGGGATCTTCCAGGAAAGCTGGCATGTAGTTATTCAGATCCGACTGCAAGCAGTGCACCAGGTATCTGCAGGAACACACATTATTTAGCGTCCATATATCCACCATCAAGGGCCTAAAGGAACGTCCTGAAGAATCCCACAGTAAATCTGACACCTGGCCGCTTCACAAACCGCACGACCCGCACAAAAGCGCAGTTGTTTCAGCTGGTCATTCGAGTGCTATTTACATAGAATTTAATATGTAAAGGTCAAATTTGCATTTTATTTACAATATTTAATTAAAAATACATACATATTTATTTGATAACATTTTATATAACAAACATGTTTTTTGTTTTTAATTGAACATTTTATTTACTCTATATACACTACTTGGTTTATATAA